CAGGATGGGCTCTGAACGGAGGGACTCAAGCCAGCAGGGTGTGGCCACCTGCCTCTGGCCGGGGTCCCCGCTGCTCTCTGTGGACCCCCTTCCTCCCAGACTTCTGGGGCGCCACCAGCCTCGCCCGGCCTCCGTGGCTACCTCCCGGGAAGTCTAGACTCTTTGTCCCTCTCCTGCCCAGCTGTCCCCATGCCCAGCCGCACACGCCAGGTGCCCCCTGCCCACCCGGCTTCTCCACCTGGGTGGGTGGCGGCCGCCCGCCAAAACCTCCGCCTCCCACACGACGCTGCCACTTCCTCAGTTCCTTAAGCCGAAAGTCTACGATGCACCCGGACCCTTCCCCTCCCCACCTCCTCACCCCCCAGCCCAGCCCCGGACCCTTCCTCCTGCCGCCATTGCCTCCTGGTCCCCCCCTCGTCCTTCCCCGTGGCCATCCTTCCCAGCAGCCAGCTTCACCTTCTTCAGCTGGAAGTCAGAACGTGGCAGCCATCTATCTGCCTAGGCCTCCCACCCGCCTCCCTGTCCCCCACCCCGTCACACCGGCCTCCTTTCTGTTCTTCCCAGAACTCCAAGTTCCTTCCGCCTTGGGGTGTTGCTCACTCCTCCTAGCTGCTTTCCCTCCACATTCTCCCATGGCTGGCTCCTTCCTGGTCTCTGCATCTCCGCTGAAATATCACCTTCGTAGACAGGCCTCACACTCTGCCTTTCGCTGGGTCTTGCCTCTTGACAGATCACCACTGCCAGAAACTTCCTTGCTCATTCGCCAGTTTATTTCTTCACCGCCTGCCTCCCTCCTGTGAAGGCCCTGATGGCAGGGCCTATCTTGCTCATGGCTGGGAACGCAGGGCCCAGCACCAGCAGGTGCTCAGCACATGCTGACTGAGGAGGAGGTGGAGTCGTAGGTTCTGTCCTCAGTCTGCTGTGTGACCCTAGGCAGGCACTGGTCCTCTCTGGGCTTCAGTATGCCAACTACAAATGAAAGGGACTCAAGGCCTCCATAGGGCCCTCAGCTTTGTCAATGGCTATGACATCTCACACCAGGGAGCCAGGACGGACTGGCCTGAGCCCCAACATGGGAACACAGGACCTGCCTGAGTAGCCCAAAGGAGGGGGTCACCTGATTTCAGTGACTTTATGGTGTCGACTTTCACTCTTCTAGTATTTATTGAGCACTTATAGCATGCCAGAGCCTCAACCACGCCCTGGGAGCACAAGGAGGCATCAGAGACTCTAATAGGATCAGGGAGGCTTTGACCAGGGGCCGTCTTTGATCTGGACTAGGTGAATGATCACAAGCATGTGCCGGCCGTGAAACGACAGCACTCGCGACAGCTCACGTGCACCGCGCCCCGCTCTGCGCCAGGGCTGCTCTGGGGCTCCTTCGCTGTCGTTGCAAAACCCCGAGGGAGAAGTGCTACCGAACCCCAACGAGGAAACACAAGTGCAGAGAAGCCAGGTGACTGGCCCGAGGTCGCGTTGCGTCTAGAAAGCCAGGCTGGAATGGGGCCCTGAGGCGCGAGTTCCCAGGAAGGCAGCGCAGAGGCAGGACAGATGAGGAGGCGAAGTCCGGGCAGCACAGAGCTGAAGAGGCCCGGAAGCCCCGGAGCCACTGGCCCAGGTCTCAGTCCCCATATCTCCGCCCTGCGGGGCAGAGCCGATCCTCCGGGCCCGCCCGCCCGCCCGCAGGCTGGGGAAGCAGAGCCGGCCCCCAGGCTGGCAGGGCCGCACGCCAGGCTGGCAGGGATGGCCGCCGGGGCAGAGCAAGGCCTGCCCTGGGAGCCTGGAGGGACGGGTTGGCCCCTGCAGGGGGAGGGGCTCCATGGCTCCAGTGGCTTTGAGCATCTTCTTTGTAAAGGTGGGACCAGCAGGCTGGCCTGGGTTCTGCGGAGCGGGCTTCCGACAGGTGATGCCAAGAGATCAGGAGACAAGAAACAGGCACTTGGCGTAGGGAGGGACAGTGGGCAGAGGCCCAGAGGAGAGACACAGAGCCGGGTGGGGCAAAGTCAGCCCTGGGGAGGCGGAAGGGGCCCAGGGAGAGGGGCCGAAGTGACTCCTGCAGGCCACGCAGGGACCGCGGTCTGCCAAGCAGGCCTGGCACAGGTTCTCCCCTCAGGGCCCGAGCGGCACGCTGCCACCACCTGGCATCCTGCCAGCTGGGGGGCGGGGACACTGGGTGGGTGCTGGAGGTGAGTGTGGGGTCGCCCTCCCCGGTCCTCAGACCCCAGCTGGGTCAGCAGGAGGGGTCCCGCTCCCCCTCTCCCCATGAAAGCCTCACTTCCCCGGCCCTGCCACGCCCAGCCAGCTCTCAGAGCGCGGGACTTTTGATGTTTACTTTGTTCTCTCCCCAGTTCAAAAGGAGCTGCGCAGCCCTGGCCCCCGCACCAAACCCAGCCTTAATCTCCCATCCCTCACGCTCCCAGCTGGCCAGTTAAGGCGGTTGAGACGCTGGATTAGGGCTGGCTTTACACAGCAACGCGGGGGCTGGAGCCAGCCTCTCCTGGGATGCTAAAAGACTTCTTTTTATCTTCACGCCTCAGATGGCCTTTTTTCTCTCTTAAACAGCTCTCCAGCCCGCCAAGAGGCAATGAACTTGGCCAACACGAAGACAAAGGAGAGATTCAGGACTCAGCTTGTTCTCCCTTGGCCAGTAGCACAGAGGGACGCCCGCAGCCCGGCGCAGAGCAGGTGGCTGGTTCTCTGTGGCCAGGACTTGGTGGCACCTGCTCTCACCAGACCGTCCTGGGATGGGCGGCTTCAGACCATGGCACCGAGGTGGCCAGGGAGCCATAGACAGTCGCTGGGCCCAGGGTCCCTCCGAGGGGCCTCAGGGGCCGAGTGGACGTGGCCAGGTGCCAACCTGGCTCACACCAGAGCAGCTCCACCCTTGATGCTTTATTTATTGTTTCACTTTTAAATCATGTCATTAGTTTTTAATTTCATAAGGAATACATGATTCCAGTCTTCTTGTAAAAGTTAAAACATGAATTACAGATAATGCTACAGCCTTCTTTGGCCACCTTTCCAATTTTAGTCTCTTCCCATGTTTGAAAGAGATATTGCTACCCACCCCCAGGCCTCTATCCGCACAGTAACATACCGCACGTGGTACCCCAAGAAAATACATCGGGGGCTGTCGGGTGCCTTTTTGTTTCATATGAAAGATATCAGACTGTATGCATCTTTCTGAGCCTGTTTTAGCTATTTTACACTTTGCACTTCTGTTTGAAGAAAGGGGCTGGTTTTTGGCTCTGCCCAGGGAACCAATAGTTGGTGGCTAGAGGACAAGGCAGAGGGAGAGACAATGACCAGCGGACGGGGGCGCGATGGGCCGAGGAGGAGTGGCGGACGCTGCACAGATGGTGAGGGAGGAGAGTGGGGGAGGCCCTGGTGGCTGGGCGGGTGGATGGAAGGTGGAAGGAGTAGATGGAAGGACGGACGGACGGACAAGAGGATGCACTTGCTATTAAGTGACCACGGGAATGAGCGCAGGAACAGGTAAATGGACTGAGTGCTGAAGACCACGTAACCAACGTCTAGGGACACCTCAACCCCCAGCGCCTACGTCCTGCAGACTTTACCTGGCTCCCCAGAGCTCCTCCAGGCACCAAATCCGGCCATCTCTCCACGGGCATCTTGGAGGCTTGGGGCGCCCAGGGATGACAATAATCAAAGACACAGGGCCCCTAAGCGCAAACACACTCCAGGGATACACCCACAGCCAGGACAAAGCTTTCTATCCATGGGACTTCTCCCCATTCCTCCCCCTTGATTTGGAGCCTGCTCACATTTAACGAAGTTTGGTGGGTCCCTGGAGCTCCAGCTGCCTCCAACTTCTGGGCAACGGAGTGAATCTCTTCTATCAGAGCTCCTCCAGGTGCAATGTGCATGCGAGTCACCTGGGAGCTTTCTGGAATGCGATGGGATTCAATGGGCCTGGGGTGGAGCCCGAGAGTCTACGTTTCCAGCAGCCCTCAGGCCACAGGGGCCCAGTCTTTGGGTCAGGCCCTGGTGCCCTGGACCCTCTGGCACCGAGAGCCCACCACGTACAGCTCTCCTCGCAAGGCCCTTGGGACCCCCCGGACCTCAGCCCCCCCCCCCGGCCCCCAGCCCTCCAGCCAGAGCCTGCCCTGGCCTTGGCACAGAGGTCCTTACTCTCCTAAGGCTGCCCGTTCGGTGAGTCTTTCTCTCATTCTGAACGAGACTCGGAAACGCTAGCCCATTCAGCAAACACGCTCAGCTTCACGCTGTCGCCCACTCCTTGTACCAGCTCTGGGAGCAAAGCAGGGAAAAGGCCCTCGTCCCCATTCTCCAAATGTGGAAACCGAGACTCGGGGAGGCTCAGCTTGTCCCAGGTCAAATCAGCAGGCCAGCGGCCGGCCGGCGCACTACCTTAGCGTCCGCGTTCTCGCCACAGTGCGGCGCTTCCGTGAGGAAGGCATGAATGAGGGCTGCAGACTCGACAGGCGAGACGCGGCTGTGTGTGTGTGTGTGTGTGCGTGCATGTGTGTGTGTCTGTGTGCGTGTGTGCATATATGTGCATGTCTCTGTGTGTGTGCATGTGCGTGTCTGCGTGTGTCTGCATGTGTGTGCATGCATGTGCATGTCTGTGTGCGTGCGTGTGCGTGTCTGTGTGTGCCGGGCAGCGACGTGAATGGAGAAAGGGAAAACACCACAGCGCCGACGCAGAGTGACTAAAGCCTAGCGCCGCGTGAGGGCCCTCGCACACAGCCCTAGCGGCCACTGTCACTACCCGCAGAGGGACACCGAGGTTCAGAATCCTGGCCACTCGCATGGCCAGTCGGCACAGGGCGGGTGTCAGGCCGGTGGCTGGGCTCCCACACGGCCTCAGTTCTCGCGCCAGCCCGCCCCACCGAGAGTCACGAAGGCCTCATCCTCTGGCGCATGCGCCGATTTTCTGGAGTAGCGTGGGGTCACACGGCCCACCAGACGCCTGCTGCCCACCCGCTGCCGCCGGGAAGAGAGCCGCGGGCTGCAAGTACCTTCCAGCCGAAAGTCGTCGTCCTCCTCCTCGCTGAGCGCGTCTCTGAGCACCTCGCCCACGAGCTCCTGGGGAGACAAAGCAGGGCGTGAGGGAGTCTGGGGGCAGGTGGGACCCGGGTGGGAACGGCCAAAGCGGCGTGGTGAGGACCCGGTTCTGATGTTCTGGCGGGAATTTAGGTCAGCTGAGGCAGATCCTACCATGCTTGAAAAGTTAACTACTGAGATGCTTTCTCAGGAAGCAGCAGTTGCTCCGCCTACAGCCCACCACGAAGCCCCACACTGGACCACGCTGCCCCGTCAGGAAGGAAGTTCTGCCCGCCACCCTGGACTGCACACACTGGGTCAGAAAATGTCCCTCGTCTGTCCTGTTATGGACCCAGGACCAGCACACCTCCCCTGCCGGTCCTAAGAGCAGACCTCAATTTCCCAATTCTGGATCCTTCCTCCAGCGCAGGGGCCCAGGAGGGCTGTCTCCGGGGATTACAAGGAAGCCACAGGGCCTGGTGTGCCCTAAGTGGGTCCCCACTTCCCCGAACGTAACCCAAGCTCTTCGGCACGACTCTCGGGGCCCACACGCACTGGCTCCAGCGGTCTCCGGTCATGCCTCCCACGGTTCGCCCACACACCTTCCGGAAACCAGCCTGAGCTCGGACACACCTTGCCTGTCCCCACCAGTGAGGCAGAGACGCCTGGCATCTTATCCCACGTGGCAGGGCTACTCCCAACCAGCCTCGCCAGGGGATGTCAGGCTGACAGGGGGAGTCTGGTTGGTCCACAGGCGAGGAAATTTCTGTGATGTCAACAAAGGCTCCATCGATCTGACCCACCCAGCAGGATAACTCTAGATATGGAAGATGCTAGATGACTGGGGCTTATCAAACTGTCTTCTGTATTTATTGGTATTCTGTCAAGAAGAGTTCTGTGATCAAAGAAGACTGTTTTAAACAAAGTTAAACAGGTCCCTTACTACAGGACTTATCAGGGCTTTTACTGTGGTTATAAACACTGTGAATCTCCAAGTGCTAGTGTATACTGCACTCTCCAAACCGTTTTAGACCGTGGAGTTTTGTTTTTCAAAGCATCACGTCGGATTCATGTCCCAAGGAAAGCATTTTGGGAAATATTCCTAATGTGGGGGCACACAGGTTTGGGGGGGTTACGCTTATGTCTCCTAATGCTCCCAATTATGCTATGGGAGCGCTTCTCAAACCACCAAATGACAAGCAATAAAAAAGCCCAAACTCAGCAGCTGTCACCAACTTCTCTTTGTGAAAAGAAAAAAGGAAAAAAACGGCCTCTCTTGGGGGAAAAACCCCACACCTCTGATGGATGCTTGAAAGAAAGGCCAGTCCTCACCGAGACGAACAAAAGGCAACGGCGCTCCGCACTGCCGGCCACGGAGCGGCACGGCTGGGGCCAGCGTCTTGTTTTGGTGGTTTGTCCTAAAGACAAACAGCTAACATTTTGTGGCTGCTCCCTTTCTTCTTTCAAATCTTTCTAGGGCATCACACGCTCTGTCTTAGAGGTTGTTAAGCCGCGGCCATTCGGGCCCGCGGCCACTTACTTCAAACCCGGCACTTCACCCTCAGTCAGGGTGGCTTCTCTCCCCTCCGCCGCCAATTATCATAATCACCGAACACTTTCTGGGCTTGTAAACTGGCTGTTTGTGTTAACACAGCCAGAGCTGACAGGGAGCTGGGAGACGGTGACAGGAAAGGGACGCACACAGGTGGCATCCTTAGATGGCTGGGACGCCGCGGCAGCCAATTAAAGCCCATCTTTCATGCTGGAAAAAGACGGATGCCGCCACCCTCAAAAGCTGGCAGGCAGCACTTCCTCGAGGGAGCGGCGACAGCCTTCAAGAGAGCCCGAGCCCTTGCCTGCGGAGCCCTCTGCAGAGATGGGACTCCGCGCTGCCTGCCACCACCCCGCACGGCGGCCAGGCGCGGCACTCGTGTCTGTTCTCCGGCACGCTTGGAAGGGCTGAAGGCTCCAACACGGCCCCCGACAAGGCAGCCGGGCGGGACCCCGTGACAGTGCCCACGGTGTGCACGGCGCCACAGCCACCACTGACACGGCGGCAGTGCTCCCTGCTGGGGGAACACGCTCTCTGACACACTCACCAAGCAGAGTTCTAGCAAGTGCTGGGTCAGCCCCTTACTGCTAAACAGCCCCTGCTCTGTAGAACTGGCGAGAGCTCCTCAGTGCCGGGGTCCGTGGACACGCTGAGCCACACAAACGCTCAACCACAGCGAAAAGTCATCTCCCTGCAGAGCCACGCAGCCCGGGGGCTGTGGCCTGCCGCATCTGCGCCCCCAAGCGTTCAGTCCCTGGGCCAGACGATGTGGGATGTCAAGCCAGGCACAGGATCACGTCCTGGCCCCACTGCCTGTCTCACCTTTAGGCCTTGGTCTACTTATCTGTAAAATGGGCACAGTAATAAACCACAACAATAAGACAACTGACACAGCACATTTCCCACGTGTCAGGCACCATGCTAGGCACTTTACATACACAGTTGTCCCTTGGTATCTATGGGCAAGTAGTTCGAGGACTCCCCAAGGCTACCCAAATCCATGGATGTTCAAGTGCCTTATATAAGTGGCACCGTATTTGCGTATGACATGCACACATCCTTCCTTATACTCTAAATCACCTCTAGATTTCTTGTAATACTTAATACAACGTAAATGCTAATAGGTAAATAGTTGTTACGCTGTATCATTCAGGGAATGACAAGAAAAAAGTCTGTACATGTTTATTTAGTACAGACACTTTCCCCCCAAATATTTCCCATCTGCGGTTGGTTGAGTCCACGCACCCACAGCCATGAATATGAAGGGCCAACTGTGTGCATGCGTGTGTGTGCACATGTGTGTGCATGCGTGTGTGCATGTGTGCACACGTGTATGTGCATGTGTGTGTGCATGCATGCGTGTGTATTAACTCCTTTAATCATCGCAACAGCCCTGCTCTTTCCATCTCTCAAGAAATAAACGCTCGTTACAATGATTTGCAAATTGTAAAGTGAGAGGTATAATCTTTACCATTTTTCCCCACAAAGAAAGTAGCGCCAACCCTCGAGGACCATGCAAGACAGGAAAGCAATCTAATGACAGCCACCCGCGTCATCTGCCACTGCTAAAGGCGTGAGGCCCACGGAGGGAATCCTGGCGGGGGGCCTCCCAACAGCCGTGCGTTTCCACGAGGTGGAGGGAGCCCGGCGACCGGCTCTGGGTCATCAGGCAGTGAGAGCCACAGCCAGGATCCCAGCAGCTCTACCGGCTGCCCCAGACAGCCAACCAGGCTCCTGCAGCCTGGGAGCAGAGGTGGCCAAGCGCCCTGGCACTGGCCAGGGACCAGGGACCATGATTCAAGAAGCACACGAGAAACAGCCCAGCAGCAGCTCCGGCAGTCAGTGGCCAAGTGCTCCCGTGTGTCCTGTGGGTCCTCCCCACAGTCCTCCCCACAGTCCTCCCCACGGTCTGTGGACTTGGCCCCGCCCTAGAGCTGAGCCCTGGCTGGCAGCCCTGTGCCAGGTCCAGGGGCCAGGCCCTCGGCGCCAGGGGAGCCACGGTGCAGAGAGCACTCAATGAGGGTGGCCAGACCCCAGTTCGAATCCCAGCGCTGCCGCACACATTGCACCCCCTGGTTGAGGAACCCGATCTCCAGTGCACCTCGGTCTCCCCGAGTAGAGGCCGGGACGGCAGCACTCAGGATGTCTGGGGCGCCAGAGCAGGGAGCAACCGCGGACGGAGCGCTGAGCAAGGCACCTGGTGCCACAAGAGCGGCTGAAGAGATCGGTAGTTACCACGTGTTCCTTCCACTGTGATCACCAGAGGAAACACTGCTGGGAGGACTCACCTGCCGCCAGGTGCCCACACGGACACGCGGAAGCAGCTCCTAGCCCGCCCAGCACGCTGTTTCCGGCGCTTGGTGTTCCATCCTCGTGGCAATCCTTTCAGGTATTTCTACTATTATTGTCCCCACCTTGCAGATGAGAACACTGAGGCACAGAGAGGTTAAGTGACTTGCTCAGGGTCACACAGAGAATATGTACCAGAGCCAGAGCCCAAGCCCACCCTTCACCACTGTTTTTTTTTTTTCTTGAAATCTTTGTATCTTCTAAACCACTGTTCTTGTAAGAAACGCGTGTGGGCCTTGGTACGTAGGGACTGCCCTTCCCTGCTTCTTTGCTCTACTCAGCTGTCACTCTGGCCCCTGGGCCCCAGCGGGCCTCGGCCCCAGGCTCTGATCAAGGGCTTCTCCCTGGGGCCCCTGACCTACCTGGCCTGGTGCCAGGCTGCCCCTGCCCGGCAGCCCGGCTTAGTGGCCTCTCGGGCCGCAGGGCCCAGACGTGCTCCCTCCTGAGCTCCCTGGGCCCTGGGTGCGCGGCCAGCTCCAGCCCGCAGCCCCGCGTCGCAGGCCTGACGCCTTATAAGGCCGCCGGGGACGGGAAGACCACATCAAAGCGGGGCCTTGGGGAGCAGGCTGGAGTTCGGTCACGGATTTTCCTCTCTGTCTCCGGACCTCGTACTTCTGCACTTAGTATCTTCCCTGCCACTGCCCGGCGCTGCTCTGTCGGTCTTTCTGTTCTCTGAGAGCTAACAGAGGTGGTGCCGCAGGGTCTCAGAGCAAACCCCAGATGCCCACAGAACATGGCACGGCTCACAGATCCCAAGGACGGACAGGGCTGGAACATGCTGGGGGGAAGAGCAGGGAGGGGAAGGGCCCAGGCCACCCCTGCAACCCTTAGATCCAGGCAGCCGGCCCTGGAGCCGCCCCAGGAATTTCCTGGCGAACTCTTCCTCCCAGCTCACTGCAGACGCAGCCGGGCCAGGCCATCCCAGGGCCTCGCTGAGAACAAGTCCTTGCCTCCTGTCCCTTCCCGGAGGCAGGCCCCTTCCCCAGAGCCCAGTGATCTGGCAGTCAGGCACCGGGCAAAGGCCCAGGCCCACCTTCGGCAGCTGAGTAGCAGCAGACACGTCACTTGACTTCTCTGGCCCCAGTTTTCCTCTTCTGTAAAATGGGCATTTAGATGTCAGGGAGCAGTCCTCGGAAAATGC